GAGTTCCAAATTCTCTCCCTTCCTCATACCCCTCCCCCCTTGAGAAAACTAGCAATTTGATATCTATTATACATGCGAAGTCATGCAAAACATATTTGCATATTAGCCATGTTGCAAAAGAAACTGTAGACAAAAAAACTCAGAAGAAAAAAAAAGAAACTAAAAAAGTGTTCTTCAATCTGCATTCAGAGTTCATCAGCTTTCTCTCTGGAGGTGGACAGCATTTTTCATCATGGGTCCTTTGGAATTGTCTGGGATCATTGTCTTGATCAGAGTAGCTAAGTCTTTCACAGTTGATCACCCTTACAATATTGCTGTCCCTGTGTACAATGTTCTCCTGGTTCTGCTCACTTCACATTGCATCAATTGCCACATATGACTTTCCAGTTTTTTCTGAAACCATCCTGCTTGTCATTTCTTATAGCATGGTAGTATTCCATCACAATCATATAGTAAACTTGTTTAGTCATTCCCCAATTGATGGGCAGCCCCTCAATTTCCAATTCTTTGGCACCACAATAAGAACTGTTATAAATGTTCTTGTATAGAGAACCCTAGATTTATTCTATTTCCTTTTGTATGTACCAAAACCAGAAAAAATAAAACAATTATAGGACAACTTTTTATTTTTAAAAGGTTGAGCTATCAATAACGAATTTCCAAAATAATATTTTTAAAACGTATGTGGTATGGGATGGTGACCATGGTTGTTCAACCACTCCTATTTGCTCCTCACTATACTGCTGACTCATTACCTAGATAGGTTATACCTCGATGGGTATAAACATTCTCTACTCTGAGAAACTGTAATGAAAGAATTTATAATTCTCCCTATTTTTTTTTAAGCTTTGAGCTCCCAGCCAGAAACATATTTACTTTGGCAAAATATTACAGTATTGAATCTATCTCCTTATCTTCTCTGGGGATCTTTTTCTATCAACTTCTTCCTTTCTCCAAATGAAATCTTAATTATAAGCACACTTAGACTAGCAAATGCTTATGATTAACACTGTTTATAAAGTTAATACTTAAAACAAAAAAGGTAAATGGAGTTTCCATACCTAGAGGAAAAGTTTTCAGCCTCCTATTAGGGAGCTCAGGACGAAAAAGAAAATATAGAATTATTGCCTTGGGTACTTTATTTGGGGATATTTCAGCAATATACTATCTGTCTTGACCTTCTTCATGCCTAATCCTAGAATTCTGGCCCTGCTCCTTGTGGTTGCTGCCTATACTCATGTTTCCAGTGCTCTCCCAATTCCTTGGAGCATCTCACAGCCTCTCCTTCTCCAGCTCTGGGGTATCTTCAGCATAATTTCATCAGGTCAGGGACTGAGTTTCTCTGCGAATGTGACTGTCTCTCCAAGAAGTTCATTGTCCTTTAAAATTCATCCACAACGTGGTCAATGATTATTCATCTAACAGTATTGCTCCCTTCACAGTTAAAGAGGTGTTCATATTTCATAAAAGGATAAGAGGGTGTTAATACTTCATTTTCTGTGATTATATCTTATGAGTATATCCCCTACACTGAGGGAGAAAATGAAATCTTCCCTCTCTTACAAATGTTTTCTAGTTTAAAAATACTAAAAATGAAATAAAAGATGAAATAAAAGAAAATAAAGACCTAGTTATTGATCATTTGACTGGACTGCAGAAAAATTATTATTTTGTTGTAAAGATCTAGATATTTTAAAGCCTGAATGAAAAATGAACTCATTTGCTACAGACAAATATAATGTCTTTGATTTTACTCTATTCAGATAAGAATGGTTAGACTTGTCTTATAAGCATTCGAACCTGAAAAAAATCTTATGTTTTGTTTATAAATGAATAAAGGGTTTTTTATTATCACACAAGTAATACAAATTGTACTATTCTTAACTGTATAAAATGAGGTTTCCTGCTGTAGCTATTATAAAAAACAATCTCAATCTCAAGGAGTGATTGAAAAGAATTATAGATAGTAGCATTACATTTTTAGAAACTGTGCTTCAAAACAATCCTGCCAAAAAAGCTTGGCATCAAGTTTACTTGATAAAGATCTGGAAGTCAAGATTTAGAGGTAATCAACATAAACACATAAAAATGAGAGTCATTCCCCAATAGATAAGCCTGATCTTTAAATAGTTTTCCCCAGAGGTCTGTGCTGGGGGATACAATGAGCTAAAGTGGGTGAGAAAAAGAAGTCTAATCTCTCTTTTAGACTTACTCAGGTTCTTCCACGGCTGAACTCAGTCTGCAACATGTACATAGATAGGTCTAGAGCTGAGACACTTTTAGTGGAGAAGGGAGGGGGCCTCAGTGCCTCTGCTGGCTTGAGTCCAGCAGTGTTTCTTAGTGTTTCACAAAAAAGAATATGTTAATTTGTGGTTTTTCTTTAAGTCAATATGCAGCCCAGGGATTTCGATTTGAGTTTGACACTACTGATCTTGAGTCACTCAGAGCTAGGTCTGGCAAACAATTTCTGTGCCCATTTTGGGTTGCAAGTTTGTTGTGAATTCACAGGGCACAATTAGCTAACACATCAACTAAGACAGACATTATAGGCAACATTCCACACCCATAATCTTCCACCTCGGCAAAGAAGAGAGGAAGGTGAATTTTTCTCATCACTTTTCTTGAGCTATTGAGCTAAGCTCGATCATTATAATTACAACACATTTAAGTTTCTAGGTTATTTTTGTTATTGTTGTTCTTTCCATTTGCATTTTTTTTGCAATTACTGTATGTTTTCTTGCCTCTGCTTACTTTGATATTTTTTCATATCAATCTTCCTATGCTTCTGTATTTTTTCCCCACACCTCAAGAAACTTCATATTTATGGATTAGCTATTTAGCTATTCCTCATTGATGGGTGTCTATTTTGGATTACTCTTCTGACAAGTACAGATTCCAGGGGAAAGTGGGTGTGAGTTTAAACAGCACATGTGACAAAATCAAGGCTCTTAGAAATCCTTTTGCCACAGTCCTAAAGATGTTTCCCTTAGGTATAGCTTAGCTTTTCTTCTTTGTGAAGCCTTGAACCTTCCTTTCCTCATCGAGCTCAGTCTGACTTTGCTTCCTGAAGCAGACATTGTCACTAGTTGATTCAAGAATACTTCAAGGACAGTATAGCTGGAATGCACTCTCTTCTTCATTGATGGGTATTTTAATCTCTCAGGCATAAACTGGCTCAATATTTTATAGATGGCCCAGAGGACATAACTAAGTTTCCTCAGTCAATCAGAACATATTTCTTGCTATAGTTGGAGAGATGTGCATTCCTTCTTCACAGGCAGTTAACAAATGAGATGTGTTCCCACCTGTCAAATATAATAGGGCGATAGCATCTTATTACTTACTTTAGGTCAGGGAGGAGTGAGTTGACTGAACTATTTATTCAGGTAATTTATTCAAATTATTTCTTGACCTCCCCACCTTCACTCTGCTCTTCACTAAGAGGCCCCTCAGCTCCCAGCACTCTGGAGGATGTGCACTGGGTTCACTCCTAGAGATGGACCACACAAAACAAGGGTCAGGCTATTTTTATTGAATTCTTTTGGCTCTTAGCCCTCACCCTAGAAGAACACTGGGAAAAATTACTTTAGGTTTGGCTCATGTCTAGGGTCTCCCCAAAATATAGGGACTCTCTCCCTTCTTTTAAAGGAACTGAAATTCTGGGATAAGCAAAACCCACAGTGTTGGGCCTGGTTTCTCCCTAAAGAGGGGAAGGTAAAAAGGCTCTCACAGTAAAATGTTGATGAGATCTAGGACAGCTATTTATTTCCTCTATACAAAAGAAAGGCTAAAAACAAAAGACTCACAAGTGTCCATTGACAAAATATTTAATGAGGCAGCAGTAATAATAATAGCTGGAGACATTGCAAACATTATCTCCAACTCATCTTACAAATGAAGAAAGTGGGCTAAACTGGGTTAAGTGACTTGCCCAGGGTCACACAGCTAGTGTCTTAAAAACACATTTGAACTCAGGAAGACTCATCTTCCTGACTCCAGGCCCAGCACTCTATCCACTGTGCCACCTAGCTGTCCCTCAACAGCAATAAAAATAAAGTAAAATAAAATGAATGAGTTCATTAGTACATGCTCCCTGAGACAACTGGAACGACTTTTAAGTTTATTTAAAACCAGTGCTAGGTGTAAGCAGTACAGTTTGGGCCTGGAGTTGGGAAGACTTGAGTTCAAATTCAGTCTCATAAACGTAAAAGCTGTATGACTCTAAGCAAGTCAATGAACCTGTTTGCCTCAGTTTCTCCTTCTGTAAAATGGGGATAATAGCAACTACCTCCCAGGGTAGATGTGAGGATCAAATGAGATATCTGTAAAGCGCTTAGCACAGTGTCTGACACATTGTACCTGATATGTAAATGTTAGCTACTTCTACTATTATTATTATCATCCTCATCATTGAAGAATTAGTTTCTATTATGTGGCAGTGTTTCCCTGAAACAAGTGCAATCACATTGACAGTTTGCAACTTCGTGGATGCGTCTTGCATGGGAGTCACACTGCCTACTAGCCCGGTTGTGTGCTGAGAAGTCCCAGAATAGGGCGGGCTCCAGCTCTGCATAGCTCACCGGCATGAATGGCTCCAGCTCGCCAGACCGGCCGAATTGCTCTGCAGTCCAGACTGCCTCTCCGCCCACAGCCGCTGGGGGGCGCAGCCTGCTCACAGATCCCCGCTTCCTAAACCCCGCTAAGACCCAACTGAATAACTCTCCCGCCACCTCTAGGGGGGCGTTTCCTCGCTTCCCCTCCGGGCTGCCCACAGCGATGCCTGGTGTCAGCGAGACTGATGGGAAGTACCGACGTGATGCTTCGGGGTCGACGACTTCGATGAAGCTGCTTCCACGCCCCGGGTAGGGAGCTACCCGTAAGGGCTGCCAGTGCGAGCATGCGCACGTATGCGTTCAAAGCTCGAGGAGCCTGACAGGCACTTCCGAGGACAGCCGGGCTCTAGAGCGGGGTCCTTCGTAGGCGCGAGATCCAGGGTCCGGGTGCTTGTGGCGGCCCTCGAGCCCCTGGTGCTTGCGTTCAGCGGACCAGCAACATGGAGGAACTAGACGGGGAGCCCACGCTCACGGTAGGGGCCATGCAGCGGGGCTCGCAGGGTCAGGGACAGCCACAGCCACGGGTGGCCTGGGTGCGTTCCCGCCTTCCGCCGGAGGTCGCTGCCCCGCCCCTCTGGAGGTCACGGCCCAGCTCGGGCGCGCGCCTCGGCCTGACGGGGGCATGTCGCGAGAGTCGCGGAGCGGCGTTTCCTTTGTCTGCCCGCTCCCGCCTTGGCCACGCCCCAGCACGTGGGTGTTCCTCCCTCCTGCGCCCTGGGCGGGCTTTCCGCTCCCCATCCCTCTCTCCCTTCCCCTTCCCCCCTCCGTACCTGGGGAACCCAACCCGGCTTTTCCTGGGGCGTCCGCGTAGCTACGTAGCGTGTTGGGTAGAGTGCTGGCAGGGGAGTCAGGGGGACCTGGGTTCAAGTACGGCCTCGGCCACTTCCCGGTTCTGTGACCCTTCTCCAGTCACTTAAGCGCTCTGAGAGTCAGTTAGCTGGTCTGTACAATGGGGATAAGGACATCACCTGCTTCGCAGGGTTGGGGTGAGGCTCTAGTGAGATAATATTTTAAAACGCTTTGCAAATTCTTGGCAAGTCACTTAACTTCTGTCCCCCTCACTTTCCTCAGCAGCAAAATGGGGATGATAATAGCACCTGCCTCTTAGGGTTGTTATGAGGATCAAATGAGATATTTGTAAAAGTGCTTGGTGCAAAGTAGGTGCTATATAAATCCTTGTTTCCTTTTTCTTCCCCTCCCCCTAGTAAGTACTATATAAGTGCTAGCTATTATTATTAATATTGCTATTTAAATGATAACTATAGTCAACGTCATTGTTATTAGCAGTAGTCGTTAATATCAATTATAGTAGCATGAATGACTAATGTGGAAATATTTTACATAATTGTACATATATAACCTATAAATGATTGCTTACCGTCTCAGGAAAGGGAGAGATGGAATTTGAACCTCAGAACTTTAAATAAAAATGTTAAAAAACTGAAAAAATATGTATAGTAATGTGGCATAGTGAGAGGCCTGGGTTTAGTAAACAGCTTTTTAAAAAATAAAAAACTATTGTAAGGGCAGCTAGGTGGCGAGGTGGATAGAGCACCAGCCCTGGAGTCAGGAGGATCTGAAGTCAAATGTGGTCTCTGACACTTGACACTTACTAGCTGTGTGACCCTGGGCAAGTCACTTAACCCCAATTGTCTAAAAAAAAAATAAAGCTTTTGTATACATGACTTAGGCAAGTGTTTTTCATGACTGCACATGTATAGCCTATGTCAAATTGCTTGCCTTCTCAATGAGGGTGGGTGGGGAGGGAGGAGAGGAGAGGATTTGGAACTCAAAGTTTTAGAAACAAATGTTAGAAATTGTTTCTGCATGTAGCTAGGAAATAAGATACACAGGCAAAGGGGTATAGAAATCTATCTTACCCTACAGGAAAATAGAAGGGGAAGGAGATAAGAGAAGGGGGGGGAGGTGATGGTAATAGAAGAGAGAACAGATTGGGTAAAGGGGGAATTAGAATGCAGGCCTTCGTGGGGTGGGGAGGGGAGGGATGGGGAGAAAATTTGAAAGTCAAAGGCGTGTGGAAGTGCATGTTGAAAACTAAAAATAGATAAATTGGGGGGGAGCCTTTGTATTCCCAATATTATACTTGTAGTAGGTGATTAATAAGTGTTTGTTGAATTGAATTAAAATTCTGCCTCTGACACACTTAACTGTGGGATCCTGTGGAAATCATTTAATAGTTTTGTCCCCCAGACAACACCCAAAGATTTAAAACTAAAACAGAGTTGTGGTTGTATTGCATTGGTGGAGGGGAGGGCCCTAGAATCCGACATTTAGAACTGGAGTGCTTGCCTTTGATAACATAGTTATGCCATCTCCCACAGGTCCCCTCCACACTTGTTAACTGCGTTGCAGCTACCAGTTCTGGGGCTTCTCCTACCTGGTAAATCAAACTCCATTCTCTTGAGCCTGGTCATTTGGAGTAGTCTTATTTAGTTTTAGTATAGAAATGTGGCATAGTGGGTAGAGAGAAAATCAGAGATATTTTCACAGTGGTGGTAGAAGGTGCTGGAGAAACTGTTGTTTCCTCTGACTTTCTCTTTGTACTTTGGTTGAACCCAGTTTCAGCCCAGCAACCAGGACCAGATCAGAGCAAAGCCTCACATCTGTTTAGTGCTGTGCTGAACATCTGATGACTGTGCAATCACTGAGTTTGAGGTGAACTAGTGGTATGTTGTCACCCTGCAAGCTTCCTCCAGGTATTTTTATATTTTAGGGTGAGCCAGCCAATCTGGGACCTCACTATGTTTTCCTCCTGAGCTGTTGGCATTACCCTTCTGCTGAAGCTAGTCTTACTTCACATCCTCAGGTCTTTGTCGTTCTGTATCTCCAAGAAAGAGAATGTATGTGTTGAACTAGATGTCTTTGAAGGGCCCTTCCAGTTAATAAATTCTGTGAATCACTGCTGAAGCCAATTAGGCAGGGTAAAGGATATGCATAGGAAGGAGTGCATGTTGTTATATCTATAAGTAGTAGTAGTAGATAAAACAGGATTTTTAAAAAATGTCATGCCTCCCATAAATACCTGCTGATACCTGCAGAGTGCATGACAATCTTGAAATGACTAAAATATTGCTACTTAAGATTAATACTTATCTTTTTTAACTGTATCTTATTGATGCCTTTTGTCTTTGTACCAGTCATTTCCCACCCTCTCTAGATTGCACCCTGTTCTGGTTCATATTCAGTATTAGTCCCTTAACTGTGGATGTCCTGAGCCCACTTCTTGTCTCTTGTTTGGTGACCTCAGCAGTTCTCATGAGTTTAATTATCATGTCTGTATAAATGATTCCTAATTTCTGTGTATCCTACCTTGGTCTCTCCTGAGTGTTGCTTATGTATCTTTGTTGGATATTTCAAACTAGGTTGCCTATAGACATCTTAAATTCAGCTTATCCAAAACTGAACTCATTTTCTTTCCCCTCAACCTCACCCAAGTTCAGTTCTTCTGAACTTCTCTATTTCTATTGTGCACCATCTTCCTTCTAGTCACTCAGATTTGCAATCTTGGTGTTATCCTTAAGCACTTGTTCTCTCTCATCACACATATAGTCAGTTGGTTGACACATCTTGCCATTTCTGTGTCCATGACATCTTTTGCATCTGACCTGATCTTTCTGTTCACTTAACCACCCCTGCAATTCAAGGCTGCATCACCTTTGACTGTTATAGCTTCTTAACTGGTCTTCTTACACAGCTGCCAAAAGGAATTTTCCCAAAAGTTCAGGTTTCACCATGTCATATTCCTGCTTGGTGAACTCCAGAAGTTTCCTATTGTTTCTAAGATCAAATATAAGCTCCTCTTTCTTACTTTTAAAGGCCTCACAATGTGTCCTCAACCTGCCTTTCCAACCTTATTATTTGCATCACTCCCCTTTTTATACTTTATGGTCTAGAGCAAGCTGGCCTTCTTCTTGTCCCCCTTGTATGACACTTCATCTCCTTTTTGTGCCTTTGCATTGGCCACTGCCTCTTAGAGTCCTCTTTTCTTTCAAAACTCTTCTTAAGTGATACTTTCTACATAAAGCTTTTTCTTAACCTTTCCCCCCAATTGCTTTGTATTTATTTTATGTGTTTATATTGTATATGTATATATACATATATACACATATGTTTGTAGAATATAAAAATATATGTGTGTGCATACATATATATCTGTATGTGTTATCTCTCCTGAATATGTGTTAGCTCCTTGAGGGTAGAGACTGTTTCATCTTTGTCTTTTCATCCCCAGTGCCTGGCTCATCAGGGTAGGTGCTTAATAAATATTTATTGATTAATTGACAAAACTAGTTAGGCAAAGCATCCAATAGAGATACTTTGCATGGCATTGTATACCAGTGTTGTCAAACTCAAATAGAAATAGGAGCCACTAACCCCTACATTAAAATCCCTGTGGACTGCATATTGACTTTGATCAGTTCATACAAATCTTCCCACTTTTTTCTGACTTCATTTTTTACCGCACAGTAATTATTACATTTATATATCATAGTTTTTTAGCCATTCCCCAGTCAATGGGTCCTCATTTTGTCTGCAGTTCTTTGCTCTCACTGGTCACTTTTCCAACATAAGTCCATACTGAAATCCCAAGTGGTGAATTATAATGCCATCAAAGTGCATTAGTATGCCCATCTGCCCATAGACCTTCAGCATTGACTGCATCTTTTGTTATCTTTGCCAATCTTCTGGGAGAAGTAAAACCACAGCATTGTTTTAATTTGTATTTTTTGCTATTGGTGATTCAGAGCATGTTTTCATGTGGTCATTTGTGGTTTACAGATCTTTTGAAGACTTCATATCTTTTGCCAACTTTTTTATTGAAGTATCATATATAATGGGAGTAGCATAGTTTCCAAAGAATTAAAATTGTTAGTTACCCATAGGGCAGTGGAATGATGCATGCTAGGCTGTGACATGTTGCAAATAAAGAGAAGTGGCATAAAGGAGGTCATTAGAGAGATATATGATCAGAAGAGAAAGGGGAGAAATCATATATTGAGAGGGAGGATCAGTAATGTCCACCTGCTTTTATGGAAATATTAGGTATCTAGAGTGTATTAGAAAGCCTGCAGAGGATTTGTAGGAGGATATGGATAAGAATCACACAGGATGGCAAGGTGTAGTGCACTACTGAAGCAATGTCAATGGGATTACAGATCCATCCAAGTATTATTTTGGGTACAAGGTAACAAACTAGTCTGATATGATAATAGCTGACATTTATATAGTGTTTTAAGATTTACAAAGTCTTTTGAATACATTTTCAGTTGATCCTCATAATGATCTTGTCAGGTATGTATTGTACAGGTAGGATTATTCCCACTTTACAAAAACTAAGGCTCAGGGCAGCTGAGGTGGCACAGTGGATAGAGCACTGACCCTGGAGTCAGGAGGACCTGAGTTCAAATGTGACCTCAGACACTTAGCACTTACTAGCTGTGTGACCCTGGGCAAGTCACTTAACCCCATTGCCTAGCAAAAAAACAAACAAACAAAAATATCCCAAGTTCAGTCACATTATATAAAATAAACATAACAAAAAAAAGAAGAAGAACAGTAAGGCTCAGAGAAGTTGAATGACCAGGTAATCCATGGTCACCCAGCTAGTTAGCAAAGGCAAAATACATTAAATAAAATGTATTTTAAAATGTAAAAACCATTCTTAGCTCATGGCTTGTACAAAAACAGGTGACAGGCTGGAGTTTGCTGACCCCTGCATTATAGCATGGCAGCAGCCTTTAATGAAATATGTGATTCTTGAATTGTCAAAGGTTGATCATATTTGCTTCATTTAGTTTAAAATCCAACAATGTCAGTTGTCCATATCCAGAGATGATGCTACTGACTGTCAGTTTGTATTCTGAGTTGTTTACTTGGAGGTAGTATGTGCTGCAGTTGGAACACTTCTCTTAACTGTTTGCATTTGTGTGACAGGGGCCTCTGTTTAGGGGCACAGTCTGTGTCTGTGGAACAAAACAACTAAAGTTTTATTTATTTGTATTTATTACAAGGTTCAGTGACTTGGTTTATGACTCCCTAACTGACCACCTTGGTACAGTACCACATTTATAAAGGTGCTAAATATTTTTGATTGCTTATTACTGATTTTAGGATTGTGTGAACAAATCATTTGAAACTTTAAGACTTCAGATTTTTTTCATCAAGGAGAATTTGACATGCCTTTATCAAATCTTCCTTCTTTCTAGTTGATTCCAGGGATAAATTCCAAGAAGAGGCAAATGTGTTTTGACTGGGGACCTGGAGAGATGCTGGTGTGTGAAACTTTGTTCAAAAAAAAAGGTAATTAATTCTTTCTCTCTTTTTGTGGAGATTCCCCTGGGCAGCCTTTATTGCTGTGTCTGTGTTGTTAGGGATCTTGACCAGCTGGGGCATGAGGAATTTGGACTCATTTCTGGCTGTTTTAAATTTTGGAAGCTTACACAGTCATATAGGCTTAGTCATGATTGAGAATCTCATTAAGTCTGAAAAACATTCAGTTTAGAATAACTGTCAGTGTGATGGATCTTCCTGGTCTGAAGATGGGCGTGTTTCCTGCCTCCTCTTTGTTTTAATTCTCGTCCAACAGGAGCTTTTATTTTTCCTTTTTCTCTGCCCACTAAGACTATAACTGTGTTTCACTCTTCTTAACGGCTGCTCTTGTTAGAATGACACTTTCAAGATGCTTGGGCTAGTTCTTATTTTCTATTCACAGTGTTAAATAGATTGAATAATGTTTTATTTTTGTGAGATATCTAGGGCTAATTAATAGCAGCATGGCCAGAGATGTGTTTATTGGGAAGAATGCATCCTTTTATTTTTGTTCTTATGAACACCACCCAGCTATTGAAGATGGGTCCAATGTATTCAATGAAGATTTTTTTTCAGCAGTAGCATAATAAACTTTAAAAAAGCTCTTGTGAGTGTTACTGCACTGCTTGCTTGCCCCTTCAACAAGGGAATCTTGCTACTATTTAGAGAGATTTTCTTAAAAATTTTTGAGGGAACTTTATTAAAGTACATAGAGTTTCTTCCTTTATTGCAAGAATCATATTAGGTCTAATAAAAAGACTTCTTTGTGGGATTTTGAGTAAATTATCTGTTTTCCAATTTAGCTAATTCTTGACACCTTTTTTCTTAAATTTTAATTAAATTAATTTTTAGTTCTTAATTTCCTAGTTTAAAATATTTCTTCCTTTTGTTATATCCCTAGGATATAATGTTATTATATAATAATATATTATTATATTGATATAAATAATATATTACTCTATAATAATGTTATTTCCCCAGGAAATTTGGGTATAGGAAATATCTTGCAGAGCAGGTCTTCAGCCACCACATTAGGGATCTGCTTAGGAGAACCTTACAGAAAATGTGTCCAGATGGCACTTTTATATATTTAAAAGGAAAATTTGTCAGCACTTCTAGTGTATTATGTACTAGGTGAAAACACAAGAGTCTGTGCGACGTGGTTCTTTTTGTTTTCTGTTATACTCATTGAAATTCTAGTTCATGCAAACCACTGAATAACAGTATAACCCGTTCTAGAAATTGTTCTTGTATAAGAAAGTTATATAGACTTATGGCTTCTATTTTAGAGATCATCATGAAACATTGGTTTCATTTGGTTATGAGACACTAAGTAGTCAACTTTTCTCTCATCTCTATGGAGGGGGTGTATGTGCTGTTAGAAGTATTACAAATATTATCTATTTAGAATACATTATATTATTTGGGCAACAGATTTACTTTTGTTAACTGTTTTGTACAAACTGATGTTAAATTTAAAGCCTTTAATTATATACCATAATCATATATCATCTACATTATTGATGATTGAAAGAGGTAGCACATTGAAAGTTGAGAAAGGTAACATACTTTGGTGTTCTGTGCAGTAGTGATAGATTACAAGTTTACCATGAATAATTTATATGTAGGTGGTTGATAAATGACTACACTCTTTTAGCTACTGTTGGGGGTTTCTTTAATGAGACCAGCAACAAATTAATAAAATGGTAATAGTTAGATAGAGGCAGGATGGCATAGTGGATACAAAACTGTCTTAAAGCCAGGAAGACCAGGCTAGGTTCAAGTTCTTCCTCTGATGCATATTGGCTGTGTGACCCTGGGCAAACCATTGAACTTCAGTGTCCCAGACAGCTCTGTTAGACTATAAGTTATAGAGATGTAGACATGCATTGGCTTTTGTTAAAACATCTCTCCTCCTTTCCCCCAGTCTCTGGTAATGAAGTGACCCTTCTTTTGTCAAGGTCCTTCTTGTTGAGACTGAAGGAATTTCTTTTCGCAGATGTTCCCTATACAAATGAAATCATGGGTTCAATATCCATCCCTATAATTAGATATTCAGCTGGATTATTTAGTTTTTAGAAGAGAGTATTTTTATTTTCTTCCATTTCAGAGAAAGAAGAGAAGGTGCTGGGCTGCCCTTTCATCTATATAGTCCGGAAGGATATAGATGTTTACTCTCGGATCCTACGGAAACTTTTCAATGAGTCTCACAGCATCTTTGTGGGGCTCCAGAGGATTGAGGAAGAATCAGCAGGAAAATCCAGGAAAGCTCAGTAAGTAGCTTGTTGAAGGAAGTAGCAACTCACATTTATCTAATTCTTTCTTCACAATATCCCTCAAAGTAGCTAGTGCCTATATAATACCTATTTTGTCTATGGAAAAACCTAGACTCAGGTTAAGTGATTGTCCTGAGATTACACAGTGTCAAGAGCTGGGACTGAAAGTTAAGCCATCTCACACTAAATCAAGTTCTGTTTCCATTTTGCCAGGTTGCTCTCTGATAAGCCAAATGAAATAACTCCCAACTGATTTTGCAAGTTGAACTTGTTTTGTGGTCATTTGTTTTTTTAACATCCATGTCATTTAAAAAATGTTTGTTTTGACCTGTCAGACACTTCCTAACCAACACCCAAACAAGCCCTTTACAGAATATATATATATATATATGAGTCACACAACTAGTGAGTGTTATGTGTCTGAGCCTGGATTTATTTGTTTGTTTATTTTTGTTAAGCAGTGGGGTTGAATGACTTTCCCAGGGTCACATAGTTAGTAAGTGTTATGTATCTGAGGCCAGATTTGAACTCTGGTCCTACTCAGTCCAGGGCCAGTGCTCTATCCACTTCACCACCTAGCTGCCCCCAGAATATATTTTTTTAAAAAGCAATTAGGCAAGATTGCCTAATAGAGTAATTGAAACTGATAATATGTGTCACTTTATTATTTTATAGTTTACTATTTAGTAACAGAAATTTGTAACAACATTGTTCATTTTATTTGACCTGACTTTAACCTTTTGAATTTTTTTTCATTTATATTGTTATAACTGCATTTATTCTTTGGGCTCTGCTTTCTTCATACACACTTTACACCAATCCTTGCTCAATGTTATTTTTAAAAAAATTTTTTCCCAATTGTATGTGAAGTTTTGAGTTCCAAATTCTTTCCCTCTCTCCTTCGTCATTACTCTGTGAGATGGTAAGCAATTTCATATAGGTTATAAATGTGTGATCATGCAAAGCACTTCCATGTTAGTCATTTTGTGAAAGAAAACAGAGACCAAAAAAACGTACAAAAAAAATAATAAAGAGGAGCAGCTAGGTGGCACAGTGGATAGAGCACTGGCCCTGGGGTCAGGAGGACCTGAGTTCAAATCCAGCCTCAGACACATAACACTCACTAGCTGTGTGACTCTGGGCAAGTTATGTAACCCCAATTGCTTCACAAAAAAAAAATAAAATAAAGAAAGTGAAAAATGTATGCTTTGATCTACATTCAGATTTCATCAGTTCTGTCTCTGGAGATGGATAGCATTTTTTTTTTTATCATGAATCTTTGGATCATGCTGAGAATAGCTTTGGCATTCACAGTTGATCATTGTATGATATTGCTGTTACTGTGTACAATGTTCCCTTTGTTCTGCTCACTTCACTCTGTATCAGTTCACTTAAATCTTCCCAGATTTTTCTGAAAGCATTCTGCTTGTCATTTTTTGTAGCACAATAGTATTCCAGTACAATTATACACTGCAGCTTGTTCAGCCAAGCCCCAATTGATGGGTATCCCCTCAATTTCCAACTGAATGCTTTCTTTTTTTAAAAGGCCTTTTTATTCTTTACAGATTGGTTCGAGTGAGTAAAAACTATCGGTCAGTTATAAGGGCCTGTATGGAAGAAATGCATCAAGTAGCAAGTAAGTTATTTTGTGATGGAATTTGAAATAATATTTTTAGACCAATATGAAAATTGCTTTTGTTATAGCATTTCTCTTTTTTCCTCAAGCCTCTGATAATGAGGCCAACCTTCCTACTGTATATGCCCTTGATTCCATTACCATCCTTTTTCAGCAACTTGCCTCCTTAATCATCCTTTCTTTCTCTGTAATATTAAACTCTCCTTACCCACTGGTTCCTTCCCTATTGCCTTCAGATGTACCCAAGTCTTCCCTGTCCTTAAAAAAGCTTCACTAGAACCTTCTATCCACTCTAGTTATCTTCCTTTCATTTCTTAGCACAACTTAAAGAAATAGCTGAATTGCCTTCACTTCCTCTCACTACAGCCCTTTGTATCTGGCTTCATTTGATTGAAACTTCTCCTTCTAGTTACCAACAATCTCTTAATTGCCAAATCTGATGGTTTACTGCTCAGTCTTCACCTTTCTTGATCTCTCTGCTGCATTTGATACCACTGACAACCTCCTTCTATTGGATGTGCTTTCCTCTTTGCTCACTACTTCCTTTTGGTTCTTCTGCTACCTGTTTGAGCTCTCCTTAATCTCCTGTGCTGGTTCATCATCTATATCATGCCTGCTAAAAGTGGGTGTTCCTTAAGTCTCTGTCCTAGGCCTTTTTCTGTCCCTAAATGCTCTCAATGACCTCTTCAATTCCTGTGAGTTTAGCTATCAGTGCTTAGATCTCGAAATTCAGTCCCATTGTTTTCCCTGAGCTTCAGTCCCATTCACCAATTGCTTATTGGACATTTGAAACTGAATGTACCAGAGTTATCTCCAACGTAACATCTAAAATGACCCAATATCTTTTTCTTCAGACTCTGACTTCTCTATTTCTGTTGGAAGCACCATTATTCTTAGAGTCTACAAGTTTGCAACTTCAGTGTTATCCTCAATTCCTCATTTTGCCTCATTCCACATATCTGTAGTCAGTTGCCAGGTCTTGACATTTCTCCCTCCATGATATCTTGGCAGTTGACCCCTTCTCTACTCACAGGAACATTGTGTCTCTCTCTGTCTCTGTCTCTGTCTCTCTTTTTGTGAAATGGAAAGCAAAAAAAACAAAACAAAACCCTGTAACAAATAAAAGTCCCAGTCTGCACTCTGAGTCCATCAATTCTCTATCAGGAGTTTTGAATAGCTAGAGTTGATGCTTAGTCATTGTGTTGATCTTAAGTCTTTCAAAGTTGTTTTTCTTTACAATATTGTTATTGTATAAATTAGTCTTCTGGTTCTGCTTACCTAAGTCTCCAATAGTTCATATAAAACAATTCAGGTTTCTTTGAAACCATTCCCTTCATCATTTTTTATAATACAAAGTATTCTATCACATTGATATACCATACTTTGTCCAGCCATTTCGCACTTTAATGGGCATGCCCTCAGTTTCCAATTCTTTACCACTACAAAACAAGAGCTGCAATAAATATTTTTGTACATATGGGTCCTTTTCTTCTTTCTTTGATCTCTTTGGGATACAGACCTAGTAGTAGTATTGTTAGGCTAGCTTCATCTTTCCTTGCCCTTTGACTTACCTGAAATTTTCATTCTTCTGAGATAATTGTGTGAAAACAAAAAATGATCAAAAGAAGAAATTATAGATTCTGGTAATAGCAAGGTCAGAGATAAATCCCGTAACAAGTTTCTAGGGAAAACAGTAAAATTGCTGCTCATTAAAAATCTTTTTGTTTGTTTTTGTTAGTTGCTGCTCAAGATCCAGTCTGTGGTCGTCAGTATAGTAGTCAGGTACAGTTGCATCTATTATATCTATACCACTAACTTTTTTTAATAATATTTCATTTTTTCCACAATTATATGTTAAAACAACTTTTTACATTTTTTTTAAAGTTTTGAGCTCCAAATTCTATCCTTCCCTTCCCTGAAATGGCAAGCAATCTGATATAGGTTATACATGTGTAATTGTGTAAAACATTTCCATATTAGTCATTTTGTACAAGAAGACAAGAAAGAAAGGAAGAAAGAAAAATAGTATGCTTTAGTCTGTATTCAGACAATGTCAGTTCTTTCTCTGGAGTGGTTAGCATGTTTCATCATGAAACCTTTGGGATTGTTTTGAACCACTGTATTGCTGAGAATACGTAAGTCATTCATAGCTCTTTATCTTAATAGTAATACTATTAAGATATTACTGTGTACAATGTTCACCTGGTTCTGCTCATTTCACTTTGTATCAGTTCATATAAGTCTTTCCAGGTTTTTCTGAAATCATCCTGCTTGTCATTTCTTATAGCACAGTAATATTCCGTCACAATCATAAACCACAGCTTGTTCAGCCATTCTCTATTTGATGGGCATCCCCTCAATTTCCAGTTCTTAGTCACCACAAAGAGAGCTGCTATAAATATTTTTGTACAAATAGCTCTCCCTCCCCTTTTTTAAAAAAATCTCTTTGGGATACAGACCTAGCAGTGGCATTGCTGGGTATGCAGTTTTTTAGTTCTTTGGGCATAGTTCCAAATTGCTTTCCAGAACGATTGGGTCAGTTCACAACTCCACCAACAGTGCATTAGTGCCGCAGTTTTCCCATATCCCCTCCAGTATTTATCATTTTCCTTTTTTGCCATACAAGCCAATCTGATAGGTGTGAAGTGGTACTTATTTAGAAAAACAAAAGGTCAAGTATTTCAAGGTTATCAATGAAAAAAATGTAAAGGAAAGTGATCTAACCGTGTCAGATCTCAAAGTGTATTACAAAGCAGTAATTATCAAAACAGTCTGGTACTGGCTAAGAAATAGAGTGGTGAATCAGTGGAATAGAGTAGGTACACCATACATTATAGTAATCTCATGTTTGATAAACCCAAAGATCTGGGCTTTTGGGACAAAAACTCATTATTTGACAAAAGCTGCTGGGAAAACTGGAAAACAGTATGACAGGAGCTAGTACAGACCAACATCTCACACCGTATATCAAAATAAGGTCAGAATGGTATATGATTTACACATATAGGGTATACATAAGCAAATCAGGAGAGCATGGAATAGTTTACCTGTCAGATCTATGGATAAGGTAAGAATTTAGGACCAAACAAGATATAGAGAACATTACAAAATATAAAATAGATAATTTTGATTATATGAAATTAAAAAGGTTTTACACAAAACCAAAATTAGAAGGAAAGCAGAAAACTGAGGGAAAAATTTTTATAACAGGTCTCTCTGATAAAGGCCTCATTTCTCAAATATATAAAGAACTGAGTCAAATTTATAAGAATACAAGTCATTCTGTTGATAAATGGTAAAAGGATATGAACAGGCAGTTTTCAGACAAAGAAATCAAAGCTATCTATAGTCATTTGAAAAAATGATCCCATGTTACTAACTCTTATCACATCTATTTTGTACTCTTGAGTTCTTAAATGGTCATAGTTGTTGGCTGGACATTCTTCCTAACTCTATTATGAGGTCCTTGAGAGCAGAGATTTTCCTAGTCACAGAAAAAGACCTTGCATATAATAGGTACTCAGGAAATATTGTTGACTGATTCTTTATCTATGGAAATATTCATCCTAAATTTGGATGGATATAGCTGTTACCTGGGATAGAGAGTTGGGTTCTTAGGTTGCTAGCCATGTAGTTAGTATGGTGTTAGCATTTTCACCCATTTTTAGATCTGTTATTTTAATAAAATATCTTAGTCTGAAGCTGGGGACTGAAATAGAATTGTTCTACTTTACCCTTCCTCTAATTATTAGAAAGATTTTAGTTTACCCTACCTGGAACAAAAAGATTAATTTGCAGTTTATTTTATCTTAATAGTGATCTTGTTATTTTCCATCCTACATGGTATGCCATACTCAGCAAACCACTTATTTTCTCATTCATGACCTGTGACATCAGTCAGTTTTCTCACCACTTTGTAGTTCAAGTCCTGCTCTGCTCCATTATTATCACAGAGTGATTTTTCTGGATTCAGTTCTGTTCTTGATTTTTCCCTTAGGTTTCTATTCTTTCTGCAATGGAGTTGATATGGAACCTTTGTGAAATCCTCTTTATTGAAGTAGCCCCAGGTGAGAATAATTTGATGTTTATATAATCTTAAAGGTATTTAAAGGTCATTCCTCTTTCCCTGCCTTTACCTTTTCATTTTTTCTATTTCGTAGGATTTCTTGCCTAAATTACTCTTCTCATCTTTCATCCTTTTCTTTAGTTGAATGTAAGCTGCTTGAAGGCAGGGACTCTGACTTTTGTCTTTTTTTGTCCCTAATGCCTTGTGCAGTATCTTTCATTGTTGATTTTGTTGGTGACTTTCATCAGCCTCACCATCAGAAGCACTTAAATATCCAAAGGTGTGTGACATTCTGCATAACACTGAATGGAAAAAATAGTAATGGCACAGTTAAGACATTCTAGGAGATTAAGTTATTAGGTACATTCTCTTCTTTACCCAGTTGAAAGTATGTCCTTCCTGCTCATATTTCTTATAGAATTTTTTCCATTGCTCTCATAATATTCTACCATATATATATATTTGTGTCCATGTCTTATCCCTCTTATTCAAGTGTAGGCTGGTAGGTAGGGGACTGTTGTAAATTTTCAACTTGCATTCCTCATTCCTAGTATCATACTCTGCACATAGTAAGCACTTAATAAATGTATGTTGAATTGAATTCAGGTTGAAGTCCAGAGAATTTTGGAGATGTTTATATAATTAAGTGGAAAGAAGGGAGATTAATTCTGGGAATTTGAACCTTGGAATCATTGTTGCTTGTTGTGATAAATTAAGGGTGCTAAATTGTGGGGCTTAGGGTGAGGGTAACTATGAAGCTGCAAAGGGCTAATTGGTATTTCATTTATAGTGGCCCACATCTATATATTAATGGTCATGGGGATTAATTTGATAGCTCAGAGTCAGGAAATAGAGGCTATGGATATATACATGTCAGTTTCAGTTCTGCCTTTGGTGCAGTACTTTTTTTAGAGAACTACTTATAATAACCAAGTATATGCTATTAATATTAATGGACAATCCCCCATAACCAGCCTCTGTGCCTTAGCGTATGCATCTCTCATGTGGGAAAATGAAAATTACTACAGAGGAAACTCGAGGATTAATATGTGACTCTAGTCTTTGCTCCCAGCTGGCCCTCTACTCCTTCACCTTCTTGACTGGGTCCGACTGCACGTGTGTGAGATGGATGGTTTGTCAGCAGATGTTCTTGGTAGTGAAAATCCAAACAAACATGAGAACTTCTGGAATTTGGTGAGAACTGAATACAAGTTGAGCTTCTCTTCGAAACATTGGTACCAGGTGCTCTTGGGTGGGTCTGCAAACCAAATGCCATGTCCTGTAGGTAGTTAGTATGACCAGTTGAAATCATTGACTGTAGAAATATTTTTCATCCTTTGTCTCCTGCCTCAGAAAAAATAACAATAAATCACATTTAGATAGCACTTTAAGGTTATAAAAGGATTTCCTCATAGCAACTCTGAGAAGTAGTTTGAATGTTATCATTTTCCTTTTCCCCCTCCCATTGCCCTCCTAGAATCCCTGGGTTGGGAAAGACAGAATAGTACAGAAAAACCCACCATAGGTGACACCCTTCCCCCTTGCCTTCCCATCAAACCGCTCCCCTGACCTAGAGCTGCCCAGAATGCATCCAGCCAGTGGGAAAACCAGCCATCACAGGGAGTGCATCTGCCCTTTTCTTCCCTTCACAGCCCTGCCCTTCCCGGGACCTGTCAGGGCCACTGGGCAGCAGGAAGACCACCACCACTGGAGGCATCTTTTCTCCTTATCTTCCCTTTGTTCCCTCCCTTGGCTTCAGGCCAGCCAAAACCTATCCGACTGGCTGTAGTAGGGAAGATCCTTCCCTCTTGCCTTCCTTTCTCTCTGTCCCTGGCTCTCAGCTACCAGGGATCCCCTCCGGGCTACCTGACAGCTCATATCACTTGGATGAGATGAGAGTCACCAACACTTCTTACAATTGAGATGGAAGACCCACCAGGCCTCCTGTCTGCTTGACCATTTCTGTTCTGAGGTCCTGCAGGTCTTATCATATGCCTTGTCTCTATGCCCTTCAGACCCCTGACACTATCATCTGACCTCCTAATGCAATCTGAGGACCCCCTGGCCCTTGTCATTTGTCAGCTGCTTCACCCTTGGGAACTTTTGTATGTTTTGTGTTCTCCAGTTAAGAGTGTGAGCTCCTTAAGGGCAGGAACTTGGCACATACTTGATACCTTACTTAAGTACTTAATACCTTTGAATACCAATACTTTTTCCCTCATTTTACAGATAAGGAAACTGAGCCTTTGAGAGGTTGTGATTTTCCCATGATCACATAACTAGGAAATATTAGAGACATAATGGGAACCTCAATCCAGTATTCTGTTCACTATCCCATGCTGTCTTTGGAGAGAGCACATTTTTGATGTATAGTCAGTGAAGATGAGCTGAAAGGAATTTATAGTTAAAATTAGAATGTTGTTACAAAGAAGTTCCCTGCCTCTAAGACCAGTTCCAAATCCTATTAAGTCCTGCTGCCTAAGTCCTAATTAGGTGGTGGCAGAGAAGTGTTCTCTGACCACGGTGAATGCAGGCCTTTTCTGGGGGCCACCAGGGGAATCATGAAGACCTCTGCTAAGGTGTGGTCCTGGATCTGGAATTGGAGGATCTGGGTCTAAATCCCAGCTCTGTGACTTAATTGGACGAGACATGATCTCTAAGGCATCCTATGAGCTTATGGTCTTAATTGGCTTCCTTTGGCTATTTCTGAACCTCTCTTGATTCAGAGAAGTCTTGTCAGGGAAGAAACCCGTTCAGGACAATAGGTGAGCTTTGGTCTGCTTTCTTTGGTTACTGAAAGATAATTAAGAATCGATTCTATCTTAAAAACTGGAATTTGGCAAAGGAGTTAGTATCTGCCCACACCATCTAGGGGTGGTTTCTGATCCTTTGTTGGTGCAGAGAGCTTCCTCTGAGGTAGAGAAAAGTACTTGTTGGACTGGAGAAGTAGATCCTTTGGATTCCTGGAGCTAAAAAAACTCAGAACCAGTGGTGGGGACTGTGGTCTTCCTGGCTTCCTATGGATAGATGGGTTTGGGTCTCTTGCAGGTGACTCTCTTCGTGCTGCAGGGCCACCTGGACGAGGCACGGCAAATGCTGTCCAAAGAAGCTGATGCTAACCCTGCTTCAGCCAGCATGTGCAGAGTCCTGGGGGACCTGATGAGGACCATGCCTATTCTCAGCGTATGTAGGAATAGCCTCATTACTGTGCAACATGTCCGTATTGAGGAACAAATGGGGCTATGGGAAAAGTACTTTTTAAGAAGTTTTATTAATGCTCTTTTTCACATTGTTTTCATTTCCCAATGATGCTCCTTCCCTCTCATCTACTCACTAAAATATACTTAAGTAAAACACATCACTACATTGGCCATGTGTCTGACAACAGATGGCTCATTCTTCACCTGATCTACTGAGAAGTGGAAGGAGATCGATGAAGTCCTCACTGATCTCTGCTGTGATCAGAATCCTGAAGCTTTTCAGGGTTGTTTTCCTTTACATTGTGGTCATTGTGTAAATGGTTCACCTGGTTTTGCTTACAGTTCATAGAAACCCAAATTTTTCTGAATTTTTCATATTTGTTGTTTCTTTCAACAATGATATTCCATTATTTGCATGCGCCACAGTTTATTTCACCATTTCCCAGTCTATGGCCATCTATTTTGTTTCCAGTTATTTACTACTACAAAAAGTGCTGCTATAAATATTTTTGTATGTAAGAGATCTTTACCTTTTTTTTTTTTAACCTATTTTGGATGTACGCCTAGTAGTGTCATTGCTGATCCAAAGGAGGAAGGAAGGGAACTTTTCATAATGAGCCTTCTCCCTCTGTAGCCTGGCAACACCCAGACATTGACAGAACTGGAGCTGAAATGGCAGCACTGGCATGAGGAATGTGAGCGACATCTTCAGGATGGCACCTTTGCTTCTAACCCCCACTTGGAGTCCCTCTGCAAGGTCTGTGGGCCGACTGTCAGTGGACTTGTGGCCCAGGGATTCTTCACCTTCTTTAGGGGTTTGAGGAAATCTATGGACACATCCTGAAAATAACATTTCTAAAAGCATAAAATAAATATATATAGGACAACAGAGGGAAAGCTATACTGAAAAACATCCAAATATCCTTAAAAACTAGTTCACAGTCCTCTGGTTAAGAACCTCTATTCTGCCTCGTTAGGCTGCTCAGCAGTAGAAGTCGAGCCCCTGACCTTTCAGAGGAGGAGGAGTCATCCCAAGGAGGGATACACGCACGTTCCTCCGTCCTGGTGGCGAGTGGACTGTGCCGAGCTGACAGAGGCCTCTTCCCTTAGGTCATGCTGGGTGATGACAACGCTTTGCTGGAGCAGAAGGAGCTCCTCAGTAACTGGTATCACTTTCTGGTGACTCGGCTCCTCTACTCTCACCCCACGGTGAAGCCCATTGAGCTGCACTTCTACGCCCAGGTCAGTCTGAGGTCACGACCTCAAGGGGGGCAGTTATGGGTGGAGACCCCTGTGCTCTGGAGAAATCAGGGCTTCATCTTTTAGAGAATGTTTTATTGTTGCTCTCTTTCTTTAAGTCGTTCCCCCTTCCCTTATCGGACTTTGCCTTGTAACAAAGACAAACAAAAGCATCTGATACAGAAACCTTGTCTTAACATTCTCTATAATGTTCTATTCTAATAGACACCCAGTGTCTGCTGTGAAAAGGGGGCATGCTTCATTAGATCTTCCCCAGGATGTTCGTTGGTTTTTCTGTTGTTCAGGAATTCACCTTCATTGAAGTGATCTTTTCATTTAGTGTTGTAGTCGCGATATAATTCCCTTGATTCTGCTCATTTCATTCTAGTATCAGTTCGTACAAATCTCTGAATTTTTCACATTTATCATTTCTTACTGCACAACAAATGATAACCCATTAGATTCACAAACCATGGGGTTTTTTTCCCAACCATTACCTAATCAGTGCACACTCACTTTGTTTCCAGTTCTTTCTTATCATAGACTACTCTTTAGGGATATTTTGGCATCCATTGGACCTCTATTTCTGTTGTCTTCACTGGGGTATATGCCCAGGGAAAGGCTTACTTGGTATAGGCTATTTAGTCAATTTCCCTGTATAAGTCCCGCTTGAAATCCAGAAGGTTAGACCACTTCACAGCTTTATCAACGGTACATTATTGGGGTAGCTGGGTGGTGCAGTGGATAGAGCACCAGCCTTGGAGTTAGGAGGATCTGAGTTCAAATCTAGCCTCAGACACTTACTAGCTGTGTGGTCCTGGGCAAATCACTTAATCCCGATTGCCTCAAAAACCCAAAATAAAATAGTGCATTATCGTGCCTATCTTCCCACAGCCCCTTCAACATTAATTGTTCTTATCTATTTTCATTTCTGCCCATTTGTAGGGAGTAAGGTGAAACCTCAGCACTGTTTTATGTTCCTCTTACTATTCGTGATTTAGAGCATTTTTTTTGGTGGTCTTTAGGTTGCAAAACTTCTTTTGAAGTGTGTTAATATCCTTTGATCACTTGTATATTGAGGAATGGCTCTTAGTGTTATGGCAATTTCCTGCATATTTTGGGTGTCAGTCTTATTGGTGATGTTCCCTCTTTGTTGATTTTATTAGAACAAAAGCTTTTAAGTTTTATATAATGAAAATTTACCATTTTGTTTTTATAAGATTTTCTCTATTCCTTGTTTTATTAAGACTCATTCCCCAGCCATAGTTGAGAAAGGGACCTGATCCTGTTCTCTTCTAATTTTTTTTTTTTTTAACGAGTGACCTTTTAGATTCGGGTCATACCATAAATGTTGTCCTAATCCTAATTTCTGATAAACTTCCTTCCAGTTTTCCCAGCAATTCTTTTCAAAAAAGGAATAGATTCCAAGGTAGATTTTATCACCTTTCCCTGGGGTTCCCAACTTTGCATCTTCATTTTGGCTTTCCCCAAGAACCTTTATCCACTCTTGTAATTGAGTTCATATTGTGACCTTCCCACAGTCCAGCCTAGATCTCTTTCTGGGAGGTGATAGTGGTCCAGAACCCCTGGACAACATTTTGATGGCAGCCTTTGAATTCGACATTCATCAAGTCATCAAGGAATGCAGGTAGAATCTCTCTGGTCTTCTCTGTCTACCGCTCCCATCTTGCCAGTGTCTCTCCCTCCTAAGTAAGTTGTGCCTCTCTGTCTAGCTGCAGGTGATGATAACTTTTTCTTGAAAAAGGGCTGGTCTTCCTGAAGGGCAGAAATAAATGGGGCTACCATAGGTCCCTAGCTGTTCACATTATATCCAAGAGAGTAGGAAATGCCTCATAAGAAAAAGCTGCCCACGTTGAGATTGTTTTTAGATCTCTTCTAAACTACCCACCTTGTCTTTTTGCATTGAAATCTTCCTCTACAGCATTGCCCTGAGCAATTGGTGGTTTGTTGCTCACTTGACAGACTTACTTGATCACTGCAAACTTCTCCATTCTCACAACCTCTAGTAAGTATGGCAGAGGGTGGTGGCAGGGAGTGGGCAACAGTTATATGATGCTCCTAAGAGAAGGGGTGAATTGAATAAGCAGGGTTGAAAGCAAAGTCTGACTGAGGGTTAGAACCTAGACAGGAGAAAGGCTTTGGTTGCTAATAATCTCATGGTGAGTTTTATTTCAGTTTTGGTTCCAATATGCGAGAATTCCTTCTGCTCGAATATGCATCAGGACTGTTTGCTCATCATAGGTAGGAATGCTTGGGAAGGCTTGGGAGCATTCTGGTGAAATTGGGAGAAGGGTGGCTTGAACTACTATGCAGCCAGCTACCTACTAGCAACAGGGGCTCTGAAAAACATTTATCTCAGTTCCTAGTGCCTAGTTTACCCAGAGTAGCAGTTGGACCCACCCTAGTTTGCCCATACCCCTCTTCCTTTGGGGATTTTGTTTTCAGCCTGTGGCAGCTAGGTGTGGATTACTTTGACCATTGTCCAGAGCTGGGCAGAGTTTACCTGGAGCTTCATATTGAGCGGATTCCCCTAAACACAGAGCAGAAGGCCCTCAAAGTACTTCGGATCTGTGAGAGGAGGCAGATGACTGAACAAGGTAAGGTGGGCCCTATTCTTGACTGCGTTTATGTAATAAACTTTGATGAAGTCAGTGCGCCATATTACCTGTCACACCCATTGTATGCCAAACACCAGGGTGGGGATTGGGTTGGAGGAGGTCTCTTCACTGTCAGTCTATATCAGCTAGACAATGAAAAAATATGGGGATTGCAGAAGAGTTAGTAGTCTACTGCAAATGATGACATTCTCGTGAGCTAGAATCAATCAGGGAGCAGGCTTACTAGAAAACATGTTCTACCTCTGTTTAAATAGTCCTTATTTTTGTGGGAATTTGTATCTGGCAGCCTCAGATGTAGCCTCTGTAGTGTGACTTAAATGGATAGAGTGCTGGCATTGGAGTCACAAAGACCTAGGGTCCATTTCCATTTCTGACACTGGCTGTGTGATCCTGGCCTGGTTCTTTAACTGTTGTAGACCTCAGTTTCCTTGGGGAAGCAGTGTGCTATATTTTGGGTTAAAATTCTGCCTTTGCCATTTACTACCCCTGTGACCTTGGGCAAGTCACCTAACATTTCCTCATCTGTAAAATGAAGTAGACTATTTGATTCCACAGTTCCTTCCAGCTCTATCTCCAAACAAAATTGTAAAGATTTCCTCCTTCCTATGTCTTTCAAGCCCCTTTTTTCTCCCTCTGAAGGATTTAATCTTAAAATTAAGTGTTGAATGATAAAAGCTTAAGATACTATCTTTTCCTTTATTAAAAGAAGAGTCAAGACTAAATAGTCCTTAAGACCCAAAGTAATGAAATCTGTTACATGGGAGTTCAGGCAGCATTCCAGAGGAGGGAGACATTTTGGGGCCTGAGGGGTCCTTCTGTTGCTCCTTAAAATGCAACATTTGGCAGCCACCTCCTAAGGACAGTTCTGTAGCGGATACTGTGATATTGGGTACTTGTGGGCAAAGCAATGAAATGACTGTGACATTTCATGATTTCCAGTCTTGTCTTTGAAGTTTCTATACTTAGCTGGGATGAACATGTACAGTGGGGAATAGGTCATGCAGGAGTAGGAAAGGAAGTGCCCTGGTAGGTGTGGAGAGGGCTATCTAGAATCTGCTATTTATCTTCTTCCTTTTGGAAAGTTCGAAGCATCTGTAAGATCCTTGCCATGAAAGCTGTCTGCAACAACCGCCTGGGCTCTGCCTTGTCCTGGAGTATCCGAGCCAAAGATGCAGCTTTTGCCACCCTTGTCTCTGACAGGTATGTCTGGGTAGGGTTTTCTTCCTCATTCTTATGAACAGTTGGCTGGAGGGAGGTGCTGCCAACTTTGCTTAGGGCTTAATGGGATGGGAGAGGACTTGCTGCCCTTAACTTCACTTACGGTATTTTTCTGTAGGTTCTTAAAGGATTACTGTGAACGGGGCAGTTTCTCAGACTTGGATCTCATTGACAACCTGGGCCCGGCTATGATGCTGAGTGACCGTCTGACTTTCCTAGGTATCTCTCAGGGGTTCCTCATCACACCCAGAAGAGGGTGCAGATCATGTCTCTGTCAGTATCTGCCTGGGCTTGGAAGACCAGGGACATCCTCCACTGTAGTAAAATGTGTTAGGATCTTGGGCTATCTCCTTGCTCCATGTAGTGGCCATTTCAGGCTGGGGGCAAGATAGGGAGATGGACTTCAGTCTTTTTTCCTGCTACATGAGCAGGATGTTCTTTTGTAGCACCTGTAGATTTCCTGAATTCTATTGAGATTTGTTATCAATCTGACTTTCTCTCTCAAATCAATAGGAAAATACCGGGAATTTCACCGGCTTTATGGGGAAAAGCGCTTTTTGGATGCTGCTTCACTGCTGCTGTCACTGATGACTTCCCAAATTGCCCCTCGATCCTTCTGGATGACACTACTGACTGATGCCCTTCCTCTACTAGAACAGAAACAGGTGTCAGCCCTCAGCCCACAATGGTCTTTTCCCTCTGTTAATTTTGGTAGTTAAGAATCAATACCACACAATCCAATAATTGTAATGTCAGCTTATAAGCTTCCTAAAGGCAAGAACTCCATTTTTAAAATCTCTGCCTTCTTCCAGGACTTAACCATAGTACTAGCTATAGACTAAGTGTCTACTATTTTTTAAACTGATTTGACTGGTGAGGGTATATTTGGCAGCTGAGATGCTGCCTTTGAATTATTAAGAGCTCCAAGGCGGGGGGGGGGGGGGGGGGGGGGGGGATGTGAATTTAGGAGTTAGCAGCTTCTACCTACTTATGATAGTCTGCTGATCATACCTGTCTGTTTACTTTTGACAATTACAGGCCTGGCCCTTGCTAGAGCTTTATGCCTAGTCCTTGGTCAAGGAATGTAATCCACCTTCTCCTCCCCCCTTCCTTAGGTCATCTTTTCTGCTGAGCAAACCTATGAGCTGATGCAGTGCCTAGAGGACTTGACGACAGGAAGACCAGAGCCCAGAGATCTTGAGGGCCAGAGACCCCAGGTACTTGGTTTCCAGTTAAGGTGGGAGGTTTGCAGAGTGGGTGAGACAGGAGCTGCGCCTAACAAACTGTGCTTTTAGGACGATGACATCGAGACGACCAAAGTGGAAATGCTGAGACTGGCTCTTGCACGAAACCTTGCACGGGCAATTGTGAAAGAGGGAACCTTAGAAGGCTCATGAAATGGCCAGAGAAGCTACAGGACTTTGTATGGTGGTGATATGTTTCTCTAAAAATAAATGCTTTTTTTTTTTTAACAAATAAAAGGACGTTTCTGTATTCAGTTAGGAAGGATGATGTAAGCTATGAAAGGGAGAACATGCAGTTTGATTTTCAGGTGTCCTAGAATGATTTTGGCCTTGAACTCCACTTTTTAAAACAATGTCATAGCTGTATCTATCCAGGAACACTTTTCCCCCTGTACATACATACAGAGTTTATACTTTAAAGCTTCCAGGTAGAGTCAAACCCTACAGAAAATGTTTATTTGACATGCAGCAAAACCAGTGCATTTAAAGACAACGTATATAGTTCAGCTGCAACCTCAACATACAAACAAGATACATTCATTAGGTTCAGTGCCTGAAGCTTCCGCATTGCCACTCAGTTAAACTCTCTTTCCTGGCTAGGGCACCACAGCCATCAGGAAAGCTTGTGTTCCTTAGCTGTGTTTAATTGATTCACTTACGTATCTGAGGAACGGAAACCTGCCTTCTAAATGGGCATATACGAGCTACATTGAGCTTTAATGTTAGCTGGGAAAGAATAGAAAGGATGTAGTTGGCTACCCTTTGGGGTAGGTGTACCACCTGTTCTCCTTCTTCCCACCTTTGCAGAAAGGTAGCTATAAAGCCCTCTCACTGCAAGGGCCAGTTGGCTGGTAGGTGAACTTGGCTCTTGTGAACCTCTCCTTTCATCTGCTTCTTCCTCCAGACCCAACAGACATTCCAAAGAGGGATGACAGGCCAGACAGCCACTTGTAGCTTTGGACATGGACAAAGCCTAGTGCAATTTGCTTATGTTATTACTAATTATATACATCCAAGTGTGCTACAAAGTGTTTGTAGAAGCATTCTTCAAAAGCCTGAGTGGCAGGATAGGGAGGCAGTTCTTTATTCTGCACTAAGCAGGGAGAAGAGGTATCATTTCTGTACCAGAGTTCATTGGCCCAAGCTTTGAACTAGCACATGTTCCCCTACCCCCTGCACTGGGGGAACACTGGTTGCCTTATTTTTCCACATACTATCTAGTTAGTTCTGTTGTAATTGTAGCACATAGTCAGCAAACACCTGAAATATATGAGGAAAGAGTTCACCACTCTTGTTACATTTCCTATCAGATTTCAGCCTGTAATACTGAGAGGAAGTGGTTGTGGGGTTTTGGCCCAAATACCCCCTGTGCCAAGGGTCTTTGGTGGTGGTAACAAACCAGGTGTTAATTAGGGATAGGAGATCTGGGAAAATCTTTCTACAGGCAGAATTCCCCTCATCACTGTAGTGAACTGATCCAGGCCAGATATTGCTTAGGAGAAGAGGGAACCATCCACCTTGACAGCTGGCTCTGCCTTGTCCCTCAGCTGTATCATTATTTCAAGTTATTAAAGTAGAAGGGGGAAAAAAGTATGTGGATGGGGGGGCGGGTTTCCCTTCAAGACCAAGGAGAAGTGGCCAGTTTAGCACTGCCCATGTTTCCATGTTCCAAAGTTCAACTATAAGCACTGTTGTCAGGCCACAGAAACAAAGCAGGACTGCACTGCAGTGCATATGTGGTCCTCTTCCTTTCTGGTGTAGCTGGCAGCATCCCTTGTCCTCTAGGCAGAGATCACAGCTGTCCTGATAGGTCATAGGTTCCCCCACTGGTCCACTGGGGGAAACTGGTCCACTTCACCCACCTCTGTGCTGAGCTGATCCCCCAGGGCAAAGGTCAGCTTGTAACGCAGCCTTACCTTCTCCTGGAAGAGGAACAGAATAAGTGAATAACAGAATGTAAAATTTAGTTTCAGGAATCCTATCTTCATATTGTACTAGGAATATTTGGTGTCCTTTCTTTTACTGAAGGCAGTTAGGAGGGGCCTTAAGCAGTCAAACATACCTCTCATCTTTAGCTTTCATTGCCTCAGCACTTTAGGTATGGCTCTTAAACTGGAGTATAAAATTGTCATATCCTGTAGATTAAGGGTTCTTAACTTGGTTAATTTTTTTGATAAGAACATTTAAATATACTTGGTTTCCTTTTTAATTCTACTTTATGTATTTAAAAACATTGAGGAAGAAAATGAAGAAGAACATGCTCTAGGCAGACCTTCTGGTTTTGCTCAACTCACCTTGAGTGGGTTGGCCAGCAACATAACCTGGGTTATGGCTGCAGGTGGCTGGATAGGGTTGAATGGAGAAAGTTCTATTCCTGAGGGAGGCTGCAGCTTCACCTTCATGGACTGAAAAGTAGAAGAGAACTGCTGACAGCAGGAGAGCTAGCTAGCAGGAGGGGGGATGACACCAGTCACATAAAGAGGAACAGGAACCCTGCTACATGGTACTCATATGGAGGGAAGTCAGGACTCGATACATCGAACACAAGCAAATTCTGTCTCCTATGATGGCCAGGAAATAGCCCCTCTTCTGGATGGGAAGGGGTGGCCCAGGGCTAACAGCAAATGCTAAAGTACCTTGGGCACTGCTGCTTGCAGCACAATGCTCTTGACAGGCAGCGGAGCTGTGTTCAGCATGGACACCACGACCACCAGCACATCGGGCCGCCCAGGTGGGCACTCCTTGGCAAAATGAAAGAGGATGCGGAAGCCATTTTTGTCATAGGCTGTCACTGGAAGAGCACTGCCTACACAGGAGAAAAAGAATACAGGCAAATTTGGAGAGCTCAGGCATGATGCCTTGATCTTCCTCCCATGTGGGGAAAAGACCTCAAAAGGGAAAGTTCAACAGGCAGCACCCACAGCAGAAGAGAAATGTTCCAGATCTGTCATCAGTAAAAAAGTCTTAGCCCTTTTCCACCTGAAAATGCCCAAGCCCCGGCTGTCAAGATACCTACTTGGTTTGATAGATTCCAATGGAACGTGGACATTGGTCAGGGAGAGTTCGTTTCCCTTCAGGGGACTTCCCTGCTGGAATGGCAGTGGTTGGAACAAAGGGCTACCGGGCCCAGCAGGAAAGGAGCCAGGTGGCCCCACTGGAGCGTTGCTGGGGATGATCGGGGAGGTGACCCCAGGGAGGAAGCTGGAGGAGACAGGTTTCACCAAGCCTGATGTCCTGGGCAAGGAAGAAAAGTAAAGTTACAGAAGGTGGCAAAGCTGCCTAGTTCACTACTTAGAGACTAGAGATTTTTCCAACCCCTGAGAGGGTCCCTCCTACCTTTTGCCATTCTCTAGTTTGTAAGATCTGAGCCAGATCATCCAAACTGAAACTGAACCCCTCCCCCCATTCCCACACTAGCTCCTCCCCAGGATGCCAAAGACCATCCCCCAATTCTCTGCCAATCTTGCTCCCTCTGCTAAGGAACCTTTTACCACCACCACGCCCCCTCCTCTCCCCTACCCAATTCATTACCCTTTGGTCTCTTCCAGAAGCTGGTTGAGAACATCCAACTGGTGCAGGGAACTATCACCCACAGTTGAGCTGAGGTACCCAGGGGCTGGTGGCCCCACCTTTTGCGGTGTAGCCGTGGCCAGTCCCATGGAGAACAAGAATGAGCCTGTGTTGGGGGCAGGGACGCTGGCCTTGGTAGCGGGAGCCGTAAAGGGAGGAGGCAGTGGGGCTGGGGAGCTGTTCAAGGGCTGTGTAGAGGACTGGAGGAAAGGGCTGCCCTGGGAGTTGCAGACAATAGTCAACAGCTTTGGGCTAAAAAATCCTACATTTGACTTTACTGTGCCACAAAATGATGGGATGTGGGACCCCTGGGCATTTAGTGAGCACAACTCTATACCCTCTGTGCCCTTCTTTCCCCCGGTGATGGTACTTATTTTCCTAAATTTCCCCCTAAACTGGGATATCCCAAAGGGTAGGACCTAGGCTCTTTCCATTCTCACCCCAGATTGTGCTTAGAATAAGGTTCCACAGTGAACATTCAATAGGAGATGTTAGCTCTCTCCTATACTACTTCCAACTGGCTACTGAAGCAGGGCTCTCTCTCAGTGGCTTCCCCATCACCTGCCCACCCAGGATATGTTCTCCTACCTGATACAGGTTCCACTGGCTGTTCCCTGTTGACTCTTTTGGAGCAGCATTAGGGGCTGGGTCAGAGAGGCCTGAACACACAGAATAGTTGAAGTTGGGAAAAAGCCTGGATAAAATTGCCCAGGGGCATTAAATCCAGCTCCACTCATAGTAAGGTTAAGACTCTCCTCATCCTGGAACCCAACTGAAAGCTATTACTATCAGTCAGGTCTTAAGATGATGGGAACTGCTCAGAGAGCCAAGAACCACCTCCAGAGCAGGTAGACGATACTCTGAGGGGCCACTGGGAGAGCATCAGAGAGCAACACATTCAGAAACTACACATAACACAGCTCCAAATCCTCCCTTGGCAACACTCAAAGCTAACTAGTGTAAAAATTAGGTCTTTCCTAATGGCTCTCCTAAATCTAACCTGTTGCAATTCATGTGGGGAGAGAGAATCTCTTTATTCCACATATCATTACTAAACACAATACAGCTGCCCCCACCAGTTGTTACTATTTCTTTCCAGGGCCCTCTACAATAATCTAGGTTGACATGAAGCCCTCTCCTCAAAGGTTTTACCTAAACATAACAGCTCTTCATCCAACAGGGAGAGAGAGTTGGTCACACCACTGACCGCAGAGGAGGCTTCAGCCTGACTAGAGGAGCAGCTTCGTGGAGGGGGTGGAAGGATAGGGATGTCTGAGGATGGTGGGGCAGGTTGTGGGGCCAGCACAAGGGGTGGGCTGCTAGACATATCCAATTCAGCAAGATCAATCAGAGTGTTGACGTTACTGGAGGGGTTGCTTCCTGAATGGAGAGGAGAAAAGTGGTGAAGATGACTGTATAACAGTTATAAGAGAACTCTAAAGCTAACATGCGTAAACGCCAGACCAGCAGAAGTTATAGGGAAAAGTAGCAGGAGGGAGAAGGCAGGTTCCAACAGGTTCATATGTTCTCTCTCAAAGGTAAGGATTTTTTACACAGTTCTTTCACTGTCTTTGGGCATCGAAGCTGAATCTGAGTGTTCTCCTGATCCTACATGGCAATTTGTAAATGATAGATGGATTTGGATTATGAAATCAAGGCAGGGCTGGAGGAAAAAAGCCACCAGGATTTTGAGAACCAGAGTTATTTACCTTCTGGGGCAGATATGGCTAGGGAAGCCACCTCACCATTAATAACCTGTCCTTCAATAATTTTTTTATAGGAGTTGATAACCCGTGAAAGATTGTCACTGGCTTGCAGGATGTCTCCTGGAGCAGAAAGAAGAGTACCACTGAGTTAATACCTCCCCTATGAACACCCAAACTGTTGGGGTTCATTGTTGACCAACATCTCTCACTTCTCTCACTCACCTAAGCTGCTATCATTATCTTCTGTCTCACTGGCCAATTTAAACAATGTTCTCCTCTTGGTTTCACATTGATCATACAGCTCCTGGGAGAGACCAAGTCATAATGACAGAATCTACAGTTAGAAGGAACCTTAAAAATCTAGTCTAACCCACTTGCTTTTAGAGATGGAGAAATTAAGACACAGAGAAGTTATTTTTCCAAGGTTACGTAGCTCTAGTTAATAACTGAACCAGAACTAGGACCCATTTTTTTAAATTCCCAGACGAGCGCACCTTCTACTGAACTACCTGCCTAATGTTGCTAAGCTTTGGTACTAAAAAATATTTGTAGTACCTGAATATGGATGGACTGCACTGTTCAGGAGTTGGGGGAAAGAGTCTGTTAGGGGCTTTATGACCAAGACTTGTTTAGATTTATAAGGGACCCAGGACGCAAGTTGAGCGTAAGAGTCATCAAATATCCAGTGGATTAGCTGACTATCTCTTGCCTTCAACTGGAAATATCCCATGATTTTTAGTCCTTCTACTAAGTGTGATTACCTTCATGAGTTCTTTATCTGCCTCTGATGAGTCCTCCTTACTATAATGAACCAACATCTCATTAAGAAGTTTTACATTGTTGTTGACTTCCTCTAAAGTATGTAGTCGTTTTGTCACTTTCTGGATCCTAGCTTCATCCTGAATCAAGAAAGGATAGAGAGATTTTTTTTTAAATTCCAGTTACCAGTGACTTAAATTTAAAAAAAAAAATTTTATATTTTGCCTTTACTACACCTCCATTTCCCACTATATCCATTCCCTCCCAGAAAGTCATTTGTTATAAGAAAAAAAAAAAAAAACCAGGGGCAGCTAGGTGGCGCAGTGGATAGAGAACCAGCTCTGAAGTCAGGAGGACCTGAGTTCAAATCCAGCCTCAGACCAAACACTTGACACTTACTAGCTGTGTGACCCTGGGCAAGTCACTTAACCCCAATTGCCTAGATTAAAAAAAAAAAAACAGATAAGTGAATCAAGTCCTATTATTAATATGTAGTGTACCCCACCTATAGAATCCCCCACCTCTAAAGAGAAGGGAGGGAGGAGGATTCTCATTTTTCTTCTTTGGGCCAAGATTAGTCATAATTTCACAGCATTCAGTTTAAAAATTTTTCATTGTTCTATCCACTTACAATGTTGAGAAATGCAAATAAAAACAACTAAAGTTTCACCTCTCACCCCAAAAATGGGCAAAGAGAACAAAAAACATAATTAATGTTGAAGAGGTTGTGAAAAGGCAGGAAAACTATAAATAATAAAAATAATAATAAAAAATTATAAAAAGAAAAAGATAAGCACACTAATACACTATTTGTGGAGGCATGAACATTCTGGAAAGCAATTTGGAATTATGCTAAAAAATCAACTAACTGTCTCTATCCTTTCATCCAGAGTTCATACTGCTTGGCACGTGCTCCAAGGAGATCAATGATAAAAAAAAGGTCTCACATGTACCAAAACATATGACACTTTTTGTAGTGCAAAAATACTAAAAACAAAGTGGATGCCTACTGACTGGAGCACTGCTGAACAAATTATGGTACACAAATGTAAAAAATGTGACAATTCTATAAGAAACAATAAATACAGAGAATTGTAGGAACTGGAAACACAGCAACTGATGCAAAGTGAAGTAAATTGAACCATGAAAATTACAGACAATGACTGCAAAAATATAAATGAAAGGAACAACAACAAAAGTCTTTAATGCAGTTATCTCCCTACCTCCCAGAATTTCACTCAGGGTTCAGTTGTGAGCCCCAGGGCACCAACTATGGCAGAAAAGGCTCTTCAGCCTTTGCCCTCTTCTTGGACAGTGAAGAAAGAGACTTTTACTTCTAAAGGGCATTATTTGGGTACCTGACCCAATCTGATCTTGCTTCCCTAATTTCAGCCTCTTCAGACACAAGAATATTAATCCTTCTCATCAGCAAAGACCTCCCTCAAGACCAAGACATTATTCACATACAGTGAGAGAAGCTGGTGTCAAGGATGAACAAGTGAAGCCTAATGCTGAGAAGGAAAGAGATTGTTGCTTCATGACCACTTGGTACCTACTTCCACTGTTATGTCAAAGCATTAAGGTGCACTCACCTCCTTCACCATGGATTTGATCAACTTGTTGGCCTCCTGGAGGTCATCTGGATTTTTGCTTTTCAACAGCTTGGCTAAGAGCTGAAAGAAGAGGACATCAGAGATGAGATCAATGCTTGAGTCGCTACAGAGTGACTCTAGTACTTGATTTCTTATTGCTTAGCCCAGAAGAGGGGATTAAAGGGGATAAAAGGATTTGTTCTGTGAAGTTTGGTTTCAGTCAAAGGGCCGCCCTCAAGGACCTAGAAGGCCACATGTGGCCTCTAGGCTGCAGGTTCCCCACAGCCATCCCTGACCCTGGATTGCCAAGATTCCTGTAGTCAAACCGTCCTTTACCTTGGATTTCTCCTCATCATCAAAAACAGGATTCTTGGGACGAGGTGGTGGGGAGGGGATGAGTGTCCGGTCCATAGGAATCAATGGGTCAGACTGCACAATCCCTGAAACAAGAGCCATAGTGTAAGGGTGTTCACTGATATCAAGGAAAACAACTTTCCTTCTTTCCTTTCCCTCATTAAAAGCATGAATGCTATCCCTGAGAATCAGATCAACAAGAAGGGTAGTTAATGGTATAGAAAATACTTCTCACATCCCACCTTGCTGGGGATGAATACAACTGCTTCAATAACCTAAGTTCTTTCAAATAATAGTCATAATTCACATTTAAATAGCACTTTAACAGTTATGAAAAAAATTTCCTCACAAAAGCCAGGTGAGGTTTTATTTATCTCTATTTTACATATGATGTAACTGAGAGCCAGACCAATTAAGAAGTGACTGATCAGGATTAGAGCCAGAAAGTGTCAGAGCTGGGGCTCTAACCCAGTTTCCTGACTCCAAGTGCTGTGTTCTTTCCCATCTCCCTGCACTGCCCACTGCCTCTTTAAGGAGATATAAGGGAGTCTCAAGACAAAGGATTTGGGTCAGGGGTAGGGAAACTGCAGTCTCAAGGCCACATGTTAATAAAAGGATTTGTTCTGTGAAGTTCGGATTCGGTCAAAGGGCCATGTGTGACCTCGAGGCTGCAGGTTCTCCAACCCTGATCTGGGTGATGTTCTAAGCCCCTTCACTCTGCTGAGATTCAACTTCCTACTACCTGCTCTGGAGGGCGAGGAAAAGTGAATGCAATGAGACACTCACCCTGTCTCTTAAGCATCTGGTAAGCATCCTTGATTTTGGACTCCTCTGGCAGGGCCACTGTCCAGCTGTACAGCAGCTCAATGACTTTGGCTTTCACCTTCTCTGAGATCCTGTCCCCTAAGTACTGAGAGTAAAAGTGACAAAGGAAAATCTCGTAACTGCATTCTGAAGGCAGGAAAATTGGTAAGGCTTTTTACTGTAATTAAATGGTTGCTAATTATCTCTAGTCCTCAAGCCTACTAAAAGACAGCAGGTTTTAAAGGTATGTGTGAGAGAAAGAGGAGGAGGGATAAGAGAGGAAACTACCTGTGGCATATCTGTATCAATCTGGGATACAGCCTGTGGTTAGGCAGGGGCCAGGAGTTCTTGTCACTGCATTTCCATGCATAATCTGCCAGAAACACAACTGCATTTTATCTTGAAGGAGTTAAAGGGAATTTCTTTAGTAAGAGATAATGGGTCCCAATGGCCCCTCATGGCAGTATTCAAAGCTAAGTGACACTGACTCAACAGGACCTACCCCAGAAGGCGATCACGTGAAGGGGAATACCCAATCAGGCATTTTATGAGTCACATGAGTAATAACTGATGCCTGCCAAAACCCAGGAATCCAGAGGTACCAGGCCTCTTAAAAAGATCCTCTCACACACTTTTTAGTTTCAACTGGGAATTTATCAGAAAAAGATTGTCCCTAGGCTCCACAAAGTGCTTATTCTCAACCAGAAAAAAACTGAGGAACCCTGTTTCCTGGAGGAGATGTTGGTTGTTTAGGCAAAGCTGATGAAGCAGGGGACAGGGAAAGAACAAAGGATGTTACTAAGAAGTAAGACAACCAACTGCTAACTGACCTTGGGAGAGACAACTTTGATTAACTCATTCAAAAAACGGAACTTCCCCACTTCATTATGAAATCTCCTCCCGCAGTTCTTCATACATGCTTCCAGCACCTGTGGCCAGGTGAGAGAGAGAGAGAGAGAGGTGTGAATGGGGACCAAGGGGGAGGCACAGCTAGAAAAAAGTCTGTGTACAAACGGTCTGGGGTTTTTAGTAGGCTGCCAACTCTCTATAACTCCACAATACAACAAAACATCCAAAAAGCCAACATGATGACAGGTGACCTTTAGGGAGTAAAGAGCCCTGTGACTTCCTCAGAAGTGTAATCAAAGGAAGGCTCCTGAATGAGGGAAGTGACAGTCCCACTAGATTCTGCAGAACACTAACACCCATGTTGAGTTTTATACACATACTAGGATTGATATTCACAAACTGGAACATGTTAAACATAGGAGAACCAGGACAGTGAAAGGACGTTAAACCATGAAGTCATATGAAAAATAGATTTAACTTAACAAGAATTTAGTAAGTACCTATTATGTGCAAAGCACTGTTCCAAGTGATGGGAAGAAAGGGATAAAATTGAAGCTCACCTAGGAGATGGGCCTTTGGGAGAAGCGATACCTGAGCTAAGCCTTGAAGAGAGTGTGGAGGGAATAAATTCCAGACGTGAAGACTGGAGGTGGAAGGCTGAGTTTGGGTTGGAATGTAGAGGAAATGATGAGGCCTATGAAATGTGTGGAAAATTAGGTGGAAACCAGATTGTGGAAGATTTTAAATGTCAGGCTGAGTAGTTTATATTTTATCACAGAACAGAGTGTCCCTGAAGATTTGTGAGTAGCAAAGTGATATAGAGGGGATTAGTTGGCCTGGAGATATTCAGCCTAAAGAAAAGATCCAAGTATAACATCTATCTCTGAGCACAGTGCCTTGCACAAAGTAGGTGCTTAAATACTGTTTAGCCCTAGAAAACAGAACTAGAACCACTGTATGGAAGCTGCAGAGAGGAGTATTTAGGCTTGTAGAATGAGCTGTCATAGCAGATAGCGACCCTTCTTTCCCAAAGGTCTTCAAATGAAGATTGGATGACCACTCACTGGGGATGCTGTGGAAGGAATTACTGTTGAAGTAAAGACTGCACTAAATGACCTGAATGGGGATAATAACAGCACCTACCTCCCAAGGTTGCTGTGAGGATCAAATGAGATAATATTGTAAAACGCTTAGTGCAGTGCCTGGCATACAACAGGTACTATATATAAATCTTAGCTGCTATGTTATTATTATTATTATTATTATTGTTACTTTCAATTCGCAGATTCTGTAATTCCATGTTCCCTGAAAGAGCTACATAAAGTCTTTTGTGGTGAGACAGTAGGGAAAAATCAAATCTGGATCAATTTGGTTCAATAAGCATTTATTACATGCTAGACTGAGGATGCAAAGACAAAAACAAAACCTTTCCTTCCACCAAGGAGATTATATTCTTCAGGATATATTTTTCCAATTCAATTTAGTGGATCATAATGATCCACAGTAACCAATTTTTCCCACAAAAAAGCAAGCTTTCAGGCCCTAAGTTCTGGGAATCCCCATGAATGGCCTTAGATAAGCACAGAGAGAAATAAATGCTCACCCTTGTCATTATACCCCACCAAATGAGAAGCCCTCACTCCAGTGAACTTGGTAAGTTCAGAGTTTCAGAAAAGAAGAAATGGTACCTACTGTCAAGGCTTGGACTGCCTCCCACTCCTGAGGGGACTGGATTTTGTGAGCCAGCAGCCGGACAGCAATCTGAGGCCTGGAAAACATAAGCAACCCACATTGCTGATCACAATTAAACCATAAATTCCTAGCTAGCTGTCGTGAACCCAAGCCTTTGATTTTCTTCAATAAGGGATCTAGTTCTCACCTACCAAGGTACCCTCCACAGCTTTGGGACTCACCCTTCAAGTTCCTTGTTGATCTGATCACAAAAGCCAATGATATACTCCCAGTCCTCCTGGCGGTTGGAAGGATTGGTGGCTTTATCTTTGTACAAAAAAGAAGAGGAAAATTTTTATGATGAATACAGGGGTAGAAGAGAAAATAATATCATAAGTAGGTAAGATTCCATCTCTGGCTACTGATAGGCTTCCAAACTCCTTTCTAACAATTGGATCAGCATAATTTCATCAGACCAGTTGGCCAATTAACCATGTCATTCTGAACACTATACATACAGTTTTCTAACAGGTGCACTGGAGAGTTACAAAGGAAAAATAAATTTTTATCTGCCTTCATGATATTTATTGTCCAATAGGAAAAATGCAATAAACACTTATCTAAAACATAAGTGATTAAAATACAAACATATGTACACCATAAATACAAATGTATTAACTAAAGATGAATGTACATTTGAAAATACAGTTATGCAGAGATGTATAAAATACGAAGTCAAAGGGGAGAGAGACGGAGTTGAGGTTAAAAGACGTTTACTGAAGCCAAGTGGCACTACTTCAACAATGATTCGGTCTTTAAAAAGGTCTGTCAAAAATCAACCATCTCAGGAGAGGCTCACTGAAAACTGTAGAAAGGAAGAGGGAATCAAAGAAGCTCTCAAGTGTGTTTTCCCTAGAATGTCACCTATAGAGTAACCTAGTATGGTGGAGTGGAAAGTACACTAGGGTTGATAGCAGAAGACAAGTCCCAGTTCTGACATTTCACTTCAACATTTGTTAATCACATGCCAGGTACTGTCCTAGGTACTTGTGCCACAAAGATAAAAACAGACCCTACCCTCTTGGGGTAGCAGGGACACTGCATATTGGTGTCACCCTGGCTAAGTCATAGGCCTGTAGATTTAGAACAAAAGAGACCTCAGAAGTCACAAAATCCAACCTCCTCATTTTACAGATCAGCCCAGAGAGTTTCAGTGACTTGCCCAGAGTCGCACAGCTGACAATCCCATCTGAGATGGGATTCAAATATAGGTTTCCCTGACTCCAGGCCCAGCCCTCTATCCAGTCTGTAGTCATACTGCCTCACAGGTTATTTAACTACTCTATGCCTCAGTTTTCTTATCTGTAAAAGGAGGATAATAATAGTTCCTATCTCACAGTGAGGAAGACACTTTGAAATATCTATGAGTTAATGTCAGTGCCTTATAAGAAAGTATTAGCTCAAGTCTCCACAATCACCAGACACTAAAGCCAAGTTTCTGCCATAGTGGTTAACAATGTTGAATGACATCAAGCTTCTAAATGAGAGTTCCCCATAATCTCTGATTTGATTTTTCCTTTTCCTGTTACCCTGAAGGTGATGACTGCAATAGCAACAGCGGCACCAGCTGAGACATTTTGTTAAATATTTTCAAAGCTTCTAGTCTCATGCCCCACCTGGAATCAGATCTTGATTGTGCCTGAACACACTCCAAAGCTGTATGCTAAATGAGGAATCAGGTTTGGAAAGCATATGTCAGGCTGCTGAGGAATAGCCTTTGAAAACATCCTTGCTTTCTCATGCCAGATTTCTACAGGTGCTGAGAACAGAAGAATGAGATTGAGAAATTCTGAAAAATCTCCTCTACTGAACATTTTTTAACCTCTAACATAGATTTCTTTATTTCCTTCCTCTGCTCCCCCACTCCAAGTATTCTTTGTTCTGATTACTAAACCCTAACTGTGATCTCTACTTCTTGGTTTAGGAGAAGCTGTAGTTCTGGGATATTTTTAGTCATTGGACAAGAAATTTTTGCCTTTTAAAAAAATTTTTTGGGGGGAGACAAGGGAGTGTGAGACAATCGGGGTTAAGTGACTTGCCCAGGGTCACACAGCTAATGTCAAGTATCTGAGGCTGGATTTGAACTCAGGTCCTTCTGACTCCAAGGCCAGAGCATTATTAGTCTTAGTGCAGTTTTCTGGGTTTTTTTTGGTGGTGGTTGTTTTTTGCTTTGGCAATCAGGGTTAAGTGACTTGCCCAGGGTCACACAGCTAGTAAGTGTTAAGTGTCTGAGGTTGAATTTGAACTCAGGTCTTCCTCACTCCAAGGCCAGAACTCTATTCACCTAGCTACCCTGAATAGTATTTTTGTATTAATACTATGTAATAGTATAGTATTTATGGATTCCCCAATATTTAGCATTCTTCTTTTAAGCCATTAGGGCAAAATCCTGATGGTCTGGGTTGTTTTGAAATAAACTGAAAATAACTGCTTGTCCTCCACACTGGGGAAACAAACAAAAAAAAAAAAGCAGCAGGACCTTCTTCAAAGTGTCAGACCAATGAGGAAGTGAAATTAACTTCCTAAATTGCCTAATAACAAAAACAAAGACTCACAGAACTGAAAAGGACCTTAAAGCTTGTCTAGTCCAATCTACTCAATAAACAAATGACTGGAATTTATTTTCCAAAGTGATCTGCTGATTGCTAACTTGCACAGTAACTCTGAGTCTCTCCCAGAGGTGCTATTTTCTGTCATTAACTTTGCTGAGATGCCCAAAGTTCTCCCATGACAAGAAGACTTAGGATCAGTGTATCATAGATTTGAGAAGCCACCCAAACTGCTATTATCCCTTTATGAACAGACTGGCAGTCCTACTGATAGTATATTCATACTGTGAAGGATTTGTGACCGTACAGATGAGGCTGTGCCTTCAAGGTCAAAGATCGCTACCATTCATACCTGTTCATCCTCAATGACTCTTGTTCATGTCTTGTAACAAGCCTGCCAGCCACAGGGGCTTCATCCAATACAAAAATTATGGAATACTACAGTCTGAAGAATTAACTATAAGTATCACTCAGTGGGCAATGGGAAGGCACATGTAAGTATGAGCAAGTTACAACACATAATGAATAAAGAACTACAAAGAAAAGCCAGAGATAAGAATGTCAAAGAAATGAATGATCAGAAAAGACAACAAGCTGGTCAGAGTGAAAGCAAGGGATAACTTCTGGACAGCCTCTGTGCTCCACTAATAGACTCCTGATGTCAAGATAAAATACAAAGTACACAGTAAATTTTAAATTAGAACGATTTCTGGACCACCATCCTAAGTAATGGACATTTATTTAGTGTCTACTGGATTAAGCAGTATTCTTCCTACGCCTGGAAAACTATCTGTCACATCTTTGGAACAAAGACCCCAACAAGACTTTCACTTGTGTTCCCACCTTTGCTACCTCCAGGACCCCCTAAGCGTTACTCACCTTGTTTGATAAACAGGTCATCTTATCAGCACAAAATTATCTATAGCTGTTCTATTGTTACAAAAAAGAAATTGTAAAGGAAATAGATGTCCAAAAATTGGAGAGAGCCCACGACCCTGAGCCCCAGAGCATTGAAAAGAGCAGCCCCGCCCAACCCACTTGACTTGCTTCTAGCCTATCCAACACCACCATCCAGTGGAAAAATCATTGTGGAAAACAGGCCCATCTTCCACATTACTACCAGCAGCCACTGCTGACCAACTGATAAGCACAAGAGCCTAAAGGGTGAGAACACCAGGATCATCAGATCTGCTTCCAGACTGACCCTCACAGTCATTAATCCAGGGTATGGAGAAGGGAAACCAACCTAGCTGAAGCAAGAGGGCACCCTGAAGAAGAAAAAAGACACAACATGTGCCCGGCAAGTCAAACCACTACAACCATCTCCTCCCCTGAGACCCTGAACCCAAGAGCCTTGGTAATGCTTCCAGCCCACTGCCTTCAGCCATCATCATCCTGGGAGCTGCGCCCTGTGGTGATTCAGCCTGGCAACTGCTCCTGCAGGTGCTACAGCCATAACTACTGAAGACCCACAAGACAAAGTTCTTGTTCCCTAAATCTTTGGCACTGTCAAATGTTTCAGTATCAGAAACTGATATGATTTTATCAGTGGAAATAACATTAAAGAAGTATTACTATCTGCTTTGTCAATACACTCTAAAGACTATGGGACTTTTCCATGTGACTTGCCGCTGAAACTTTTCTACATGTACTGTTTCCATTAGAATGTTACCTCCCTGAGAACAGGAACAGTCTTATTTTTCTATGTGTATCCCCAGCACTTAGCACAGTGCTTTGCATATAATAAGACTTTAATAAATGATTCATTAATTCATTCATTCACAAAACAGCTCTCCAGAGGGCATTTAAAGAAACAGGCCAATCAGTCAACAACATGAACTGAACATACCTTGTACCACGTTACCTGTGCTGAGCTTCAACCTCTTTTTCCAGACTTAATACATATTACCCTTCTCTCCCAACACATACACTTCACATTCCAGCCAAATAGGCTTACTCAGCTGTTTCCTGCACATGACTTTCTGTCTTCTCTCTTAAAGCCTATGGACAAGCTGGAACGCTCAGCCTTCTCTGAATCCCAAACTGAATTCTAAGCACAGCCTGGGTCCTATTGCCTATATGAGGCAGTGAGCCTTCCCCTAGCTGTTTGTGCCCTTCTCACCTAAAACCATTTGAAATGTACTTTGTATATACTTTGTACTTACTCATTTGCATACATGTTGTTTCTCCCAAAAGAATTTACTCTCCCTGACATGAGAACAAGGACTGTTTTGAACTTCTGTCTGTATTTCTAACACATAGCACAGTGCCTCGAATTTAGTAGGTATGTAATAAATGCTTGTTGAATTAAGGTATGTTAATAAAATAGAATATTATGACATAAAAAGAGAAAATATTAAATAGGTAAGGAAAGGTAATAGCCTAAATTAGGGGACACAAAGCAAAAGCAGCTATACAAGAACTATACATACATGGATTACAACTAGGGCCAAAAGTAGAACTTCAGGCAGGTCTGGATGGAGACAGAAAACAAAAGCATTTTCTCTGCTTCTTAATTCCTTTGGTCCTGACTTATTAAAAGTTAAGAGATTTTGCCCACTGTTTTGTATGTTTGTTTTTGTTGATGGCTATTGTTTATGATGAGATTTTTTAAAAAGTATCAACCTCTCTTGCTTTTCAGAGCTGCAATATGCCTACACACATGCACAAAAGGGTTTCTAAATGCCTTCTGTCATTGTTCTCCAAGGATCCAAGACT